TGCTGGAAAAATATTTTTCGAAAAAATCCAATTTTTGTGATTTTTCAAAAGTGATCGATTTTGTAATTCATCTTTTCGGAGACAAACCAACGAAACAAAATACTGTTTTTTACCAATCGATAGCTTATGGAGTTCACTACAAGATATCTCCCCAAAGTTTTTAAATTCCATCCTTTCTTAATTTTTTGCCATTGATCTGCAAATGGCCACTCCAGTGACCAAGGGGGGGGTAAAGGGTTAATAAGAAAATCAAACCGTTCATATGAACAAAAAGTTTTAAAATTCTAGTTGTAAATTTACCTGCACCAATGATTGCAATTTTACTGCATTGTTCACATTTAGGTAATCCGTATTGAACTGTATTATTCATCTGTAACGAATACTCCCAACTGATATCATCATGTCTAATATCACTTTTAACAGATTTTGTTTTTGCTAAAAGTGCGACAAATCCAGATTGCCTATGTAATGGGACTATTCTCATAATTGTAAACAGCAGAAACATCTGATTGAAGACCATGTTTGTGCCAAAATGACTTTGCACTTCTTGACTGTTAAAACCAAACAAATTAATTATTTTTCAGAAAAAAATAATAATTCTATTTCTTAAACTTTTATTCTCATACAATGACTAATGTTATATAAATATTTACGTCCTATTTATATAGTCAAAATAGAGATGAATCAAATTAAGGGTTTGGAAGAAGAATCAATATTTACGATTCATTGATCACATGAAAAAAATAGCATCATTTAGACATAATTTTACTTCCGTTTTACAAACTTATACATTCTGTTGATTATTATCGAATAAATTAAATTAAATTACCTGATTATATCTTTACATTTCGAAACTTTGATGTTTCAAAAAGAGTAATGTCTTTCTGTCACGTACTCAAGATTTTTATAATTATCAGAAAACATGAATATGAGTACAGGTAACTTCCTGAGACACCGCGCAATTTATAGAAAGGCGAAGATTTTCATTAGATGAATGAGTCTTCTATATTGGTTTGCTTCTATGATGCGATATGGTAAAAAATACTTTTGATTAGATTTTTCATCTGATCAATGAGTCGTAAATATTGATTCTACTTCCGAAATACTTAATTTGATTCATCTGTATTTTTGCTATATAAATAGGAAATAGATAATTTTTATAGCATTAATCATGTATGAGAATAAAAGTTACCATTTAAGAGTTAAAATTATTAGTTAATTTATTTTGGTCAAGTCTAATTAGGTAATTAAATTTAATTTTTTCGATAATAATCAACAGAACATATAGGTTTGGATGAGAGATGTGAAATTCCTTATACGCAAAACGTATAGCTGATTTAATACAAGCTTTTGTACTCGTAGATATGACGTTATGATATCTCATCATTTGTGAAATATGATATTGTTAATCACGTTCGTTAAAAGATAGTCGTCTTTTCTTATATACGTTGTTCGGGTAAGGAGCGACTGTTTGTCCTTGTCCCTATTTTCTTTTCTATAACAGTATCGAAATGGTGATTTTCTAAAAATGAAAAGTTCTCTTACACGCGGAAAAGAGCAGACTTTAGACTTCACACTGACATATAAGTTTGTATGTTAAATAGGTTAAAACATTGACTGCATTGGAACTATGAGCGACTATTTTGAATGAGGGCTGTTGAATTGTTTCTTGATGTACTTAGAACATTTAGATAAGCTTTAAAACAGGATATGTCGGATGAAACAAGCAATGATAATAATAATACTGATAAAAGCAGTTCAAATGGAAGTGATGATAATAAACAAGCAAAAAGTAGAAGAGCAAAGAAAAATTTTATTGTTATATGTTTAACATTTGTTTTGATTTATACACCTTATAATGCTGTGACAAATTTACAATCAAGTATTAATATCGATAAAAATATTGGCCTTTACTCTTTGGCTGTTATATCGGTTTGTTCCGTGGTATCTTGTCTATTTTTAACTCATCCATTTATATCTATATTTGGTTATAAATGGTCAATATTTATTTCACAAGTTGGATTTTTACTATTCATTGTGGCCAATATCTACCCTAAAGCATCGTTTATGTTTCCAAGTAAGAGTGTATTATAACAATCTTAGAAAGTTTTTGTCTTCCCTTCATGTTTTCAGCATCTGTCTTGTGTGGTTTATTACGTGCTGGTTTTTGGACTTCTATATTTGGAATATTTTTTTCAACTTTTCAGACTAGTAAGTTCAGAAATTGAAACTGCCAATTGTATTTTGATAACTCATCTACGTTATTTCTTTTAAAGCTCAAATATGGGGTAATTTAGTGTCATACTTGATACTAGCACAAACTGGTAACAACAACTATGATATCTCTCCTCAGTTTAGAGAGATGTCATGTGTGAATTATATCTTGCTCGCAACTTTCGTTATACTTTATAGCTAATATGTCACTAGTAAAATTAAGTTTGTTTGGTACTAAATCATATACATGTGCATGCCATTTTTCTTATTTTGCCATTTCTCCAATCCATCTATATTTCAATTGGTATTTGTGAAAATAACCATTGATTCCAAATTGAATCTGTATGAATTTGTTCTCGGTTAACATTTGTCAAAAAATTGGTATTAACAAGAACAGAAAAGGACACCGCCGGATAAGTAGCGATATCTGCCACCCTACGTTTTCATATTCTGAAGACATGGTCAGATAGAACTCACTCTGGCGAACATGAATATGATGTCAGAAACGTTCAGAACCACTT